CAATCCTTGTCTGCACTGGAAAGTCCCCAGCTCCATTGCGCTGGCACTAGCCCCTGGGAGCTGGCAAGTGAGATGAATTAGTAACCTGGAGCAAAATATTTGGTTTCATGAATTTTACTTTCTTTCTACTACTTGCTTAAAATTCTGTGGAACAATTAAATCTTAAAAGTGTCTTGTGGGTGCTCTGAGCTCCCTTTTCTTTCAAGTTTATTGATTGTATTAGATATTACTCACAAAACCCACACTTTTTTTTTCTTTGTAAACATTTAATAACAACATTTGGTTGAAACCCAGAAAGAGACAGTCTATAAAGCAACTGAGAACCCCAAACTACAGCATGGAAAACCTCAAACCCACGTATTAACAACCTTGAAGGTTTGCTTGAGTTGAGGGCATTGGCTGCACCCAGTGGAGAAAGAGATGATGGATGGCTTGGTGTGTCCTTTGTTGAGAAGCAGAGGCTGTCTTTGGAAGGCGTCAAGCCAGTAAGGCTTGAGGACCTTTATGAAGACAGCTGACCAACAGTGAGGCTCCTCTCTTTCTCTGCATAGCTGCTTTAGTAGGGTGTTTGTCACCTGGGGTAATCAAGTTAAGAAGAGAAAAACAATTGATCTTGGCTCACAGTTTTGGAGACCTCAGTCCATAATTGGCAGGTCCCGTTCCTTCAGTTCTGCTGAGACGAAGCTCTTCATGGCAGGAGTGTACTGCAGAGTAAGCTTCTTGTCTCCCCCTAATCAACAAGGAGAGAAAGAAGGTACCACATCCCCCTTCATGCCAATGCTCTCAGCAATCTCACTTCCTCTACCTAGACTCATCTGTTGAAAATTCCACTCCTTCCAATAGCTCTCTAGGCTGAGAACCACTTATTTTTTCGCATGGGCAGTTAGGGGAGACATGCAAGACCCAAACTATAACAACCAGTAAACACAGGCAGCACATTTTAAATTTAATTTGCAACTTCTTTCTTTCCTACTTTCCTTCCTTCCTTCCCCCTCTTTGTTTATTTCACTTTTCTTTCTATAAACATTCTTATTCATGAGTTATATATAGAGCTCTTTAAAAAAAATTAAATATGAGGTTTTATTATACAACCCAGGTTAGCCTCAAAACTCTGATCCTGCTGCCTTAGTCTCTCGAGTACTAGGATTTTAGGCATGGGCTACCCGGTGGACTTAATTTGCAACTTTCTGAACCATAAAGCCAAAAAGAGTGTGGTAATTGCAGAGATTTGATAAGCTAAGGGGTCGGGAAGGCAGGCAAACACCATAAGCCAGGATTGCCTTATGGGTGCCAGAGTAGAGGACCTGACTCATCCACAGTCAGAGAGGCTGATTAAGCCAGGACTACCGCTGCCTAAGCTGCTTTTTGTTATTTTTCTACAATGCAGGTTAAAAGGCATTTGAGAACAATGAACCATCAGCGCTGCCTCCTGTCTATCTGGGAAGACGGCTGCCTGCGTCCCACTCCATTTCAGCAATGAGGTGTCACAGGAGGCTTAAACACATAACCCCTGCAAAGATGGAAATGAGTGTTTCTCAGCGAAAGGGGAAGCGGAGGGGGTGAGGAGGTGGAGGAAAGAGCACCGCTATGCTGCGCGTTGATGGCCTTATATTTCCAAGCCCTGGGAAAGAAGAATTGGAGCTGCAGAACTCAATATAGAGCAGCGATCTGTGGTTGGGGGAATGCCGCACATCTGCCTTTTATAGGTTTGCAATGAAAAATGTTTTTAATTAAGGAGTGGAATTGGGGCTTTTAGTCTTGCTACATACTATGTACCTGTCAAACCTGCTGGATGGGAATTTAGCTGTGACCTCTCACCCCCCACCTACGTTAACCCGAGGACTGCTAGAACTCAGAAGAACTCTGAGCACCTGAGAAGGCCTCTGTGCCCTACTCAGAGTCCCTCCTGGCACGGGTCACTGCAACATGATTGTCTCCTTGTGGAAGCGAAAGGTGGGCAGTACCATTGTCAGTTACAAACTGACGCTGTAAGCCAGGGAGGCTTAGGGGCCAACGTAGCTATAATGACGATAAAAACACAGAAATGATTTTTGTTTTAAGTTAAGAAGCACACCGGTACCAGAAGTGGTAATGTTCTGTGCGCAGAACAAAACACCTAAGGAATGAATCCTCCTCATCCCCCAACCCTGCGACTCCCGCTCTTACGGTGACAGCCAAGCCTTAGGTGCCACTAACAAGGGCTGGGCTGGTCTTTCTGGGATTTCATAGGAAGGAGCAGTAGCTACATGCTTTCCAAAGCCTTAACATTCTCTGCATTTTTACACACCCTTTTCGCTGGCTTTATTCTTTCTGTCTCTCCCCTGTAACATCTCATCTCAATAGTTGAAGAACCAATGACAGCATAACACCTTCTAGATCCAAGGGTTGACCTTTACCCTTTAACAGGCTCTGAAAACTTTTTAGTGTGACCTCTCTGATACTTAAAGCAAAATCTTGAGTTAGTCTATCAAACACAAACCATTCTTTCTCTTCTCTCCCTTTCTTTTCGCCTTCCTCTCTTCCTTTCCCCTCCTATCCTTAAACAAGTACCTGACCGACACATAGGTAAAATAGCTCTACATCCAGTTCAAATGTCACCTCCATGCTGATGTATCCCCCCCTCACTAGGCAGAAACAACCGTTCTTGTGCGCACTGCATCAACACAGGGCCTGTGCTGTTGCATCTTCTCTTCCTTGTTGTTACATCATTACATCACGATTTAGGGGCATAATCCCTGCCTTCCTTGATCTGTCTGCAAGGCAGAAAAGCTCTGCTCTTCTTTGACTTCCAAGCACTTAGCACAATTCCCGGCCTGCTGAAGATGCCCCAGGATTGTTGTTAGAAGAAACTGAGTTCAAAGCAGAAAAAGGAAAAGAATCAGGAAAACCATGGTAGGTTTTGGAAGGCTTGATGGAGAAAAGTATGATCATGGACTAAAGTCCAATTCTTTTTTTTTTTTTTTTTTTTTCTTTAACACATATTCAGAATATTTAAGGAAGCATTTTAAAAAAAATTCGTGTGGTGCAACACAATTTTCTTTCTTTTTTTTGTATTTTTAAATTTATTCTTTTTTCATATATTACATCCCAACTGCAGTTCCCTCGTTCTCTTCCCCCGCCTCATTTTTCCCTCATCTCCCCCACTTCACCTCTCCTCAAAAAAGAGCAGGCTTTCTGGGGACATCAACCATATATGACATAACGATCTACAGTAAGACGAGGGCTATACCATGATGTCATTGTTTCAAGAGGCAACCTAGTAGGAGGAAAAGGGTCTCAAAGGCAGGCAAAGGAGTCAGAGACAGTCCCTCTTCCCACCGTTGGTAATCTCACAAGGACACTGAGCTATACAACCATAACATATATGTAGAGGACGTGGGTCAGACCCAAATAGGCTCCCTGATCTCTGTGGGCCCACTTGAATCCTGGTCAGTTGGTTCTGTTCTTGTGGGGTCCTTGACCCCTATCGCTTCTCTGGTTCTTCCTCCCACACCTCCGCAGGACTCCCCAAGCTCAACCTAATATTTGGCTGCGGGACTTTACCTCTGTTCCAATCAGTTGCTGGATGAGTCTCTCTGGTCGCTTTGATGATGATGGTGCTAGGCTCTGGTGTTAGCACATCCTGCTGGTCACAGGTTTTATGTCTGGATTGGTGTCCCGATCCCTCCACTCAGGCCTTACCTGGTTACGGAGGATGGCCAGTTTAAGCTCTGTGTCCCCCATTACTAGGAGTATAAAGACCAATTCTTGGTGATGATGTCATGATTGATGACAACCAATTCTTGGGTGTCCGCTGTGGTTAAAGTCAAGGACAATTGTAACTTATCAGCTAGATTAGAAAGTTACTGTACATATTAAATTATATTGCTTTCATTTCTATTTCTGGCCGTGCTTATTTCTTTTCTGATTAATATATACAGAAAATTATAGATTTTCATCACATTTAGTATTAGGTATTGCTTAAGAGTCAACAGTGATAACTGCTAACACTTGGGGAACTCTTCCTATGTGTTAGGAACACTCTAAAACACACTATGTACATTAACTTGTTTACTTTTACTTACCACAGTGAACCTACAGGAAGCTAAGTGTGAGTCAGGACTGAAAGCATCTTGCGTGATTACAAAAAAGAAATTCCCTAATGGTTGTAGGTAACCACCGACAGAGCAATTGGAAATATGTATGTTAGATGCCTGGCTATTGCGGATTAATAAGAATGTCTTTCTATTCCGCACCATCGTGGATTTGGGGTGATGACTTAAAGAAATGTTCCTGTTTGGGCTTGCAAGCATTAGAACTATAGAAGAAAGGTCTGTTTTCACTGTGGCGGATTTGGTGCCTGAGCAGGACAGTCAGGAAGAAGTTGGGAAAAGGAGCCCAGCCTTCTCATCAGTTGGGTTCTTGCATCTGATTCATGGGGGTGTGAGAGACCCCAGGTGTCAAGGGTCAATGAGAGTCTCTCTAGGCCATGGCAACATGGCTGGATGGCTTCCTCAGCTTTGTTTCACTGAGCCGTGGGGAGGAATCTTTTCCCCTGCTGTTATCTTGAGATAGTGATTCTTGTTATTAAATTGAACCAGAGAGGTTGAAGGACTCCTAGATTCAGAAAGGCTCACATTCTATGTGGGGGCTAAATTAATCATTGGAAATGATAAAAAACCAGGACGTTGCCGCAGTGCTAAGGGCATCAGGGCATTAACATGTGCTTGTCGATGAATCACCAGACTTCGCTCTGGCCTACACCGGGCCTGAGATAGCAATTTCCTATCTCATTATGTTGGGTTCACACCCTATTAGTGTTTATTTTGGTTAATATAATGCAATTAGAATATAATCATATCAGCAGCTTTCAGATCATGTAAGAAAAATAAAAGTTATTGAAACGCTAATGCTAATGGAGAGTGATAGAAATTGGTTAATGCAATGAAATACTTGCATTGAGTTAGACAGGAATCTGGGGCACAGATTCCCCTTCTTCAGGGAAATCTTTAAGTGCTTAGAAAGGGGTGCCTTGTCTCTCGCTTAGCTTCCTGATAAGGCTGTGATTGGTACACTATTTATTGGGAAAAGTTTTCTGACTTGGATCTGTTTAAAAAGGTGGTCTGGAGGCTGGTAATCGAAAGCGAAGACAAAGATCTAATTCTAACTCCTCTTAAAATAGCTGTGTGATAGCCCTTAGCTTTTGTTGGTAGAGCAAGGAGCGTATGTAATGATTGTAAGGTTCCCGGCTCTGTCGTTACATTTAATAGTGCTGCGGCTTCCCAGAGCCTAAGCCAAGCCATGAAACATGGAACGCCGTCCCCAGTTGTGTTTGTCCGCCTGAAACAAGCACAAATGCAAACTCCAAAGCCTGGTGGCTGCCAGACACCCTTCAGCATCGCGTGAGCTGCTGGATAGCATCCGTGATTCACAAACCATCCATTCCAGGTCTCCCAGGGCTTGGGTGGCCAGGTGGAGCAGGTGGACTTGTACGACGTCGGCTTTATCACACTTCCCATTCGTCAGCCTTTCCCCAAGCCCCTTTGTTGGCTCTGCTTTCCCCCTCATGACAAGAGGGTGAGTGGAGAATGTGAGTAGGAAAAACATTCTGGTAAGACATCCCAGTGGAAAGGGAGAAGCAATGTAACTGGGCACTGCCTCCCAGCACTGGGTTTGTTTGGAAGGTCTGAGCTATCCAGATGGTTATCTCCATTTCTGGCTTTCTCTTGGAAGGGCACAGTCCCCACATAAGACTCAGGTTGGGTCCAACTTTTTGACGCATTGGTGGTAGCCATGAAGCACATCACAGGAAATTCATCCTTTGGACTGGTGAGGTATGGTTCTGTGTGGTGTGGTTCTGAGGAAATAATTAACAATTATTTCAGAGGAGAAGCTTGCAGCCAGAGCTGCACCTTGTGGTGGCTCACACATCTCACAAAGAACTGTTATTTAAGCAATAATCCTTGAGAAATTGGTCGTTACCCACATTAAACGACTCAGCCCATTGCCAAGGATGGTTAACGCTCTAATAAACTGGTCATTAACTGCAGTAACAATGAATTTCGAGGGGATTATTGCTATTATAAACCTTAATCAATGGTTTATAACAGCAATAATGTGGTCCTTTCTCTTAATGGTAAGTAGGGCAGCTTGCACCATTGCCTTGGAAATGTTTTTGTGGTGGCTGATAATTCCGAGGGGAGGTGTGGGAAGAACTGCCCACCCTGGGACCAAACCAAGGAAGGTAAAGGTCTTACGGGCAATCTCAGTTGCTTTTGCTCCATTGTCAAGGAACCAGGGATGTTCACAGAGCAGGGAGTTCTCCTCAGCTCTCATGGACCTTCTGCCCTGTAGAACCAGTAAGATTTCAGACTCTTGGTCCAGCATGAGGTTCTGGATTAGGCTGCAACACAGCCTGATCATCTCTTTGTATGGACACCTTAGTGAACAGATGTGGCAGTATATACAGCGGACATGTACCTCAGTGGACTGTGCTTGTCACAGGATTTCAGGTGGAATGTCACCTTACGTGCTTCTGAAAGATGGATCTGCAGATAAGTCAGAATTCATTCTGGTATGACATACTAAGGTTTCAATAGCAATATTAGCAACTTAAGAGAATGCACTGTTATAGAGCAGCGGCTCTCAAGCTGCGGGTTGTGACCATCAGAAAACACGGATTTCCAAAGATCTTAGAGACTGAGATATGCAAAATTACAGTTATAAAGTAGCAATAATGAAAATTATTTTGTGGTTGAGGGTCAGCACAACGTGAGAAACTGTATTGAAGTTTTGTAGCATTATAAAGGTTGAGAGCCTCTGTTCTAGGGCAGCACTACATGTAACTTAAACAACGCTTGGTATTGTTCTTAGTTGCTTACGTATATTAACTCGATGAATCTTCGGAACAGTCTTCTTCTGTGGTAGAGGACCCCGAGGCAGAAGAGATGGAAAAACTTGACTGAACTTCTGAGCTGATACGAAGCAGAGCTGGGATTTGAATAGGGTCATCCTTCATTGTTGGAAAGGGATAGGTTCTAAGACCACCACCCTTCCAGTGGATGCCTGAAACTGCACATTTAATGTGCTTTTTTTTCTATACATGTGTGCTTATGATAAGTTAGTTGAGAAAAAAAATTAAGAACAATAACTAATGATGAGATAGAATGATTATAACAATGCTCTCATAAAAGTGATATGAATGCAATGTTTCTTTCTCACTGCCAAATGTTGGGCAGCTTATGTAATGAGGATACACTGGAAACAGTGGCCTTTCATGCCTCAAATAAGATGGTACTGGACAGCATGAGAGTTCACAAATGACTCAGAGTGATGCACAATTTAGAGCACATGAATTATTTTGTTTTGGGGACTTCTTATTAGCATTTTAAGGCACAGTCTGCTGCAGAGACCAACATCTGTGCTCCTATTCTCCCTTTTGACTCTCCCACAAGGCCCTCTTCAAGTTTACCTTGACTGCTACATCCTTACAGATAGGTGGGTTGAAGCTATCTTTTTGGGTCTCCAGTTGAGGAAGGGATGTAGGGACCTAATTATATTGCATCAAGTAGATGCAATATGGCTGAGTCCTGCTGGGTGCATTCTCTCTTTTTGCCTGTCCATGTGCTAGGCATCTGGGCTAGTTAGCTCCAGACCCAGGAGCTGTTGTCTCCAGTTATGTGTACCCCGAAGCCATGCTATTTCTTTCTCTCACACCACAGGGAGGGGGAAAGTTCATCTCCCTCCACACATTACTAGATAGAAGCATATTCTAGGACATAGAGAACAGCTCTTATCTGCAGCTGGGCATTGCATGGACTGTATTGAGAAATAGATCCTGGTGACCCAGATGTTTACTTTTAAATTTTGTTTATTAAGGGATAGTTAAAGGATATATAGAGGGATAGTTTATTGCCCCTCTTCTCATGTACTCATTACTAGCTTTAGAAATATCAACTCCCGATTTATTTGTTTTATCCAATACCCTC